AGGTTAAGCTGTAAAAGGGCAGCTATTCATATGCAAAAGCCACTATGCACAGTTTGGGTGGGTATGTAAATTGGGTGGCGCTGGGTCTCAGGGAATCACCAGGACATAGTAAACAGCAATGGCTGCTGGGCAGCCGTCTCTGTGTCTCCGTGTTTCCAGGTCCCACACCCCACGCCCCAGTGCAGTAAACAATGATTCCTGCCCACACCTCTACAAGAAAGCCACCCTCACTTTCCGACCTGATGCCAGACAGTCCAGAGTCTCATTGGAAACTGGAGTGCAGAGCAGTAGGGCGCTTGTATTTCCTTCCTGGTTGAAAAAAAAAAAAAAAATAGCGCATCCAGTTGCAGGTACAATTCACGCACCTCCGTACCTCTGCTTTTCCTACCTCTGCACATCCTACCCAGTCTCAATGCACTTTTTTCTTTCCTTCTAGCTGTAGAATTCTACTCAGCCAGTTTTCCTGTGGTTCTGGGTGATAGTAATTCTGTCTTTTAGTTGTAGTTTTGATGTGGTTGTGAGAGGCAGCACGTACAGGTGTTTACCTTAAGCCATCATCTTGGTTTTTTCAAAGCATTAAATCTTCAATTTAACTTCATTGAATTTTGTTTTTAAACAATGTTAAAGTGGTTCTGGCTGGTTTGGCTCAGTGGATAGAGCAGCAGACTGAAGGGTTCCAGGTTCGATTCTGCTCAAGGCACATACCTGGGTTGCAGACTCAATCCCCAGTGTGTGTATGTGTGTAGGGATGGTGGGGGGCAGCAAGGGTGCAGAAGCAGTCAAGTAAATTTAACTATACAAAGTAAAATTTTCCAAGTTTGAACTACAAAGTACATTTGTGGTGACAAAATATAATTTTTGTTTCTTTTTTTATATTAGGTTTCATGGGAGATTTTATGTTTGTTTTTAAGGATGAAATTCTGAAGCCATTATACCTCAGCCAAGTCATTTGTATAATAGTCTGGCTATAGTAAATTTTCTATTACCAATCAACAGGTACTCATAATAATAATAGCTATTACTGAGGGATCACTATGATAAGATGCTGATTCTTAGCAGAACCCCCTTATCTGAGATTCCACTTCCCACAGTCACCCACAATCCAAAAATATTAAGTGGAAAATTCCAGAAGTGGACTGTTGTCCATTGAAAACAGGCTCTTCCACGGGATCATGAGAAAAGCATTTCAAGGATTCATGCATGGAAGATTGTGTTATGGCTGTGGCAAGATGATTCATTTGCGATGGCTGACCCTGAGCTTCCAATGTTCCATCTCCCTCAGTCCTGCCATGGAAAATGTCCAATCTTGTCTTCAGCAGGGCCAGAGTTTCTGCTTCATATTAAAGCTTATTCTTTTTGGAGCCTACTGGGTCTCCAGCTCCTGGGCAGGATAGAACAAGGACAAACGAGTGAGTGCTGGTCACTGAGGGAGAAAGAGCATCTTAGTTCACCCGGGATTATGTATTCTCAGCTTAGGAGGAACAAGAGGCTTTTCCAAAATAACCAACCAGCTTCTCAAACTTTCTCGTGCTTGCACTGGCTCCATCCCAGTAACCAATTATCTTTTTCTCAGGGTAGAGGCCTCTATGGTCACCACCTCCCACTGTGCCATTCTGACTTCATTGCCCACATGCTTACCTCCGTCCCCTTCCTCTACTCCTTCTCCCAATGATCTATGGGTTGTGAAGCTGTAGCTTCCTGGCAAAGCAAACAGGCTCTGTCCAATATTCCTTTCTCTCATTAATATCTAGCTAATTACTGTTTCTGGGGAGGTGGGAGACCCTCAGTTCTTATCTTCTTGAGAGAAAGATTTTAATCAATAGACAAAGGTAGAAAAGCAAGCAAGAATGTATTGACCATAGCAAAAATATCATGGGGTCCCTTAGAGGTTAGGTCCCTTCGAGGTTAGGGGATAGCTCCTTTGGGGGAAGGAAGAGGGAAGGGGATGGCACAGGCATGCATCCTGCAGGGAGAGTGTCCTGGGTCTGAGCTGCTGCTCAGTCTCACAGGGTCCCTTAGAGGTTAGGGTACACCTGCATGTGGGGGAAGGGAATGGCAAGGCCGTGTTCCCTTTTAGGGGCAGATCAATAGAATATTCATCAGCTTTAAGCGGATGTACCAAAATGAGATTTATTCTCTTAATTTGTCTGTCCTTGGGTGTGGTTGGCCAATGGCACCTAATGGGAATTTCTGTTATCTGTCTCCCTGAATGGGGTGGTTTAAACTATTTACCTTCTGGTTAGGGAGGAGAAGTACAAATCATTTACTCTTAAGTGTCCTGGGTTTAGGGAAGATAGGATTTACTAGGTGGCTGGAAACTGCTATTTACCTTAATTGTCTTAGCTTCCCTATCTCACGTGTCCTGGAATTTTACTAGCTTCTTACTCTTCTATAGCAATGAATCTTATTTACTTTTATTTTTTAAAGTTTTAAAATATTATTTTGTATTGGTTCCATGTGTACAGCATTGTGGTTAGACAATCATATACTTACCAATGGATACGTTTTTAAATTGCCTGCCATTCTAAGTAGCATGATGAGCAATCTCGCTTCGTCCCTCTCGGTCCCACCAGTGAATGGTTAGTAACCCCTTTGTCAAGAGAATCCACCCTGTATACACAGATAGTCCTTTGGTGATTGGGAAAGCTGGAAACAGCAGTAGGGTCAGGTGTTAAATCTAGGTGAGAGGGTTAACTTGAAAGGCAGGCAGACAGGGCAGGGCTCGGGTGGGAAACAAAGGCAGGAGGAAAAGGCAGGGGCAGACACGCAGTTTGAGCAAGCATAATCACAGGAACCAACCGAGCAGCAAAGCGGGAGGCATAGGAAAACAAGGGAGGGCCTGTAGCAACAATGTGTACGAACGAGTGGAAACAGAGAAAGAACACATAGAAACAGGGAAAGTTCAGGTCCTTGGCTGGGCAAGAACAATGAGGGAATCAGTCAGGTGACACAGATATACAAACAGGGTAAATTGTAGCAAATATGTATCCCTGGACTACAAGGCTTAAGGGGGCAGCCCATTACTGGGCCCCGACTCCCCATGAGGAGAGTCTGAATCTGCTTGTAATAAATTTTCCACACTCTTGTTTCAATCTTCCGGTCTGTGGAGGTCATTCTTCAGCATTGCCAGACATGAGCCTGGAGGAATAAACCTCTGCTCCTCATTCCATTGATCATAGAGTTGGTATCCAGGGACACAGCACAAAGTGACAGCATTCTGGGCTGGTGGATTTTCTCTGTAACAAAAGTAATTGCTAAGTCTGGACAAAACTTCACACACATTTGTAGTGTTGGTGGGGAAAATTTTCCTCTACCCTTCAGAGTTCTCCTGGGTGGTGTAACGATTAAATCGACACAAAGCAGATTAGCAGAAGAAGAATTAAATTTAATAACACGCATGCCTCCTTACCCACAGGAGAGACCCGGGAACACTGAGTAAGTTGGCAAAATGGTGGAAGCCATCACCTTACATGCCACCTTCAGCTAAAGGCAAAGGAAGATGTTGGGGGTGGGAGTCCGTTACGGGAGGTACCCAGGAAAAGCAGTTAACAAGGATAAGATTGTTAGGCACAAGTCCACGCCCTCTTCATTGTTAACAGTTTTACAGAGATTGTGATAGCTTCCTCTTCCGGGTACAGTGAGGGCAATACCCTTGCAGCGTTCCCTCACCAATGTGAATGTTCTCTTACAAAGGGGACCTCCTTATGCTTGGTTTTCAGAGCTTCCCCCACATTTGCTTTTTTATATTCACCAGCCTAAAATAACCCATACCCCCAAAGAGGCATATTTTGGGGGTGGCAAACTCTGCTCGCCTTCAGCAGAGAAAGGTAAGAGAGAACAATTAAAACTTCTTTCTCAAGACCAAGACGGGAAGATGACTTTGTGAGTCACGTGTATCTCCTGAGCTGTACTTCTGGGGATAGTAACCTTTACCTGCAAGGGCCAGAGGCTCACAGGTTTGCATTTCAGTGGAGATCAAGGCTTTCATCTGGTTCTTGAAGTTGCCAAGAACACAGCCCGTAGAGGGAGCTTGGAGAGGGGTCTGCAAGCCTCCTGGGGTGAGGAGGTGAGAAGGGAGGGAACCTCATTATTGAAACCTTCCACTGGTCACAGACAAGGCCCTGTGCCCCTGGAGCTCACATTCTTTTCTTTTTTTAAAATATATTTTTATTGATTTCAGAGAGGGAGAGGGAGAGATAGAAATATCAATGGTGAGAGAGAATCATTGATCGGCTGCCTCCTACATGCCCCCTTACAGAGTCTGAAACTCAGGCAGGTGCCCTTGACTGGAATCGAACCTGGGAGCCTTCAGTCTGCAGGCGACGCTCCATCCACTGAGCCAAACCGGCCAGGGCTGGGGCTCACATTCTGATTGAAATTCAGACCATGCTCAAATGGAGGCCGCTTAGGGCAGGCAGGCAGGCAGGAGAGGCCTCTGTGGAGAGGTGACCTCTGAACTGGGACTTTGAACTTTAACAAATAAATGTTTAAGAGCCGGATGAGCGGCGAATGACAAGCCATCTAGCGGTTACTGAGGACCTAAAGAATGTTTCTATTTGGCGTTAGGATTTTAGTGAAAACGAGGAAGGGGGAAAAAAAAAACCACAAACAAAAACACTTAGTACTAGAACGGTTATTTCAAATCCGCAATTCCAAGGACCTGGGAGCGGAAAATCCCTGAAGCTGCGCCAGGCCTGGGGGCGGGGCCAGGAGGGGGCGGGGCCAAGCTGGAGCCGGGCTCGTGGGGGCGGGGCTACGGAAGCCGGAGGCGCTCCGCTTCTCAGGACCGTGAATCTGCGCAGGCGCGTGGCGCTCCATGGGTTGAGGGGGTTGGGGGTCCCTCCGCGAAGGCCCGCCCCCAGCGCACTCCACGCCCACCATCGCATTTATCCCGGCCGGCCGCGCCGCTCCCGAACCAGACACAGCGTCCCAGTCGCCTGGCAGCTTTTGTTGGCTCAGCAGCGGAGGGATTGCCGCGGCGTGTTCTCGGCGCCTCCCGGCCCGCAGTGCTTCCGCCCGGCCCGCCGGCCGGACTCCCGCCCGCATCCCCCGGCTGGTCCGGGGGTCCGGGCACCGCCTCCACGGCGGCCCCTCCGGACCTGAGCACCGGGCCGCAGCCTGAGCCCCGAGCGGACGGCGTCATGAAGAACCTGCCGTACTTCTGCCGCGGCGAAGTCGTGCGGGGCTTTGGCCGCGGCTCCAAGCAGCTGGGCATCCCCACCGGTGAGCGCGGGGGGGGGGGGGGGGGCCGCGGGCCGCTGGGACCGGTCACGTGGGGGCGGGACGTCAGTCGGGGCTCGGGGCTCGGGGCAGGGCTGTAGGGCTGCGGACGGAGGTGACACCTGCGCTGTTTAGGCGGAGGGTCTTCAGTGGGACTGAGGGAGCAGGTCCTGGGCCGTGGCTTTGGGTTCTCCAGGCACCACCTGGCTTGAGGGGTGGAGAGAGCAGGAAGCTGGAGCTGAGTTTTGGGGTCCCCCTTTGCCTGTTGTGATAGAGCTGTCAAGCATGGCAGGAGCCTAGCCCGTTAGGAAACGTAATTAATTTGGGCAGGTTGTTAAATTCTCAAGCCAATTGTAGGGTTATTTTTTAAAAAAATCTATTAGATGGTGTCCAAGTGATAGCTGAATGAGAAAAATCTCCCTCCCCCTCTCCCTCTCCCTCTCCCCCTCTCCTTCTCCCCCTCCCCCTCCCCCTCCCCCTCCCCCTCTCCCTCCCCCTCCCCCCCCCCTCTCTTCTTTTTACTTTCGTTTTAGTCATAGCTGCCCCCAGACCTATGAAAGCAGTCTGAGTTTAGAGATAGGTGTGTTTCAAGTGATTCCAAAAGACCAGGTCTAAAAATTACAGCAGTTCATGTACTTGTTGCCTTGTTCCTAACCTAGACACCTAAAAAGGAGAAATTTATCCAACCTCAGATGGAGCGGGAGGAGGGGGTTGGGGTGGGGTAAGAGATCAACCAAAGGACTTGTATGCATGCATATAAGCAGCAGCCATGGACACAGACAGCAGGGGGGTGAGGGCAAATGGAGCGGGAACTGCTCGGGAGAGGTCAATGGGGAAAAGGAGACATATGTAATACTTTAAACAATAAAGAATTAAAAAACAAAAGTTAAAAAAAAGAATATGAAATGGTAGGGTTAACCCATAGGAAAAGCCCTCCGAGTCTTTTGAACCTAATTATTTAGATTAGCTTTGGGTATGATTTTTATAAAGGTTGTGAAACTGTTAACACTCATAACATTTACTTCTGTTTTTAAGCGAACTTTCCTGAACAAGTGGTAGATAATCTTCCCGCTGATGTATCCACTGGCATTTATTATGGATGGGCTAGTGTGGGAAGTGGAGAAGTCCATAAGATGGTGGTGAGCATAGGATGGAACCCATACTACAAGAACACGAAAAAGTCCATGGTAAGAATGTATTTCACTCTGTAACTGAAAATGGATGATGATTTAGAGCAATATGCAGTATTAGATACACATATAGAGGTAATGGACTACCTCAGTGGTAATCACAACATAGTTTAAATTCTAAGTTTTTGGCATCACACTTGAAGGATTTAAAAGTGAAGTACTTAGTTACTATTTGAATGTAATTAACTTGTTCCTTTCATTTTAAATCTTGGTCTCTGGATTTAAAGTGAATCTCATAAGTGTATAGTTGACTCTTGATTGGCATAGCATTGAATCTGTATATAAATTTAGGGAAAGTGAACATTTTTGCTGTTTCTCTTAAAATAGTGTCAAGCTCTTACACATCTGAGTTTCCTTTTGGTTCAAAAATTTACTGGAAAGAAAGGAGGCAAGTCAAATTTATTAGTTCAAAGCCATGGAAACATCTATGTCTTCTAACTCATCCTTCAATTACAGATGAGAAAACTGAGCCCCAGAGAGGTTACGGTATCCTTTTGAAAGCCAAATGTGTGACCTGAGACTTTAACTTGGTGCTCTTGCTACAGTACTTCCTTGCTTACGTTCAACTCTTGTATGACAAAAGATTTAGTTATCTAACAAAATCAAAGCTCTAATAAGAGCTTTAAGAGAAGTTTCTAATATCCATATTTTCTTTTAAAAAATTGTTTAAATCAGGACTTTATAAGATCCATAAATACCATTAATTTGCATGCAGAGTCTTAGTTAGGGACACTTGGAGAGAGCCCATATTAATGTCCTGAAAGGATCATGGCCCTGCCCCCATCCAAACAAACTCAAAACATTATGAGAGACTGGGTTATCTATAATAATAAAAGCATAATATGCTAATTAGACCAGACAACCTTCCCCTTCCGGAGTGAGCTGAGGCTTCGAGGGAAGCCCAGTCCCTGGTGCCAGAGGGAAGCCAGTTGCAGGCAGCCAGAGGAGGGAATGCCCACTCTTGAATGAATTTCATGCATCGGGCCTCTAGTTTTATGTAAGAGAGGAAAAAAAGCTTACCTTAATAGAAGAATCTATGTGCAAATTTTGTTTTTGTTTTTGGTCTGAATTATTTTAAGCTCAGGGTGAACTTGCTATGTTTGCTATGTTTACTCAGATTTTTGTCTTTGATTTCTTTTAGGTAGATCATATTTATATTAAGCATAAGTTGCTCTTATATCTCAGTTATATTAATGAATGATCTAGCAATACTTAGCGGATTTGTAACAGCTACTTCAGATTTAAGGATCACTTTATAGGTTAAATTTTCTTAAGTCATACACTTCAAAATATACTTCTAGTCTCAAGTTACATGTTTCTAAATTGTGTAACCTTCTTGGTTCCCAGTGACTCCATCCCAATCCAGCTTCCACTGCCTTGTGCATTTGCTTGCTCTTTACATTGCTTTTTCTGCTTTCTGAGCTCAGATTTGTTTTTTTTATAGGCATCTACTAAGTTCAGATTTCCAGAGCTGCTTCTACCCCCTGCACCATTTTGTTCCAACACATGTTGTGCCCATTTGTTACACCATCCCTGCATCAGGAACCTGCTTGGGCTCTTCTACCCCCCACATCAGTCTTCAGCTTTGATAGTTTGATAGTTTCTGAAATGAGTGTGTGTGTTAGAGGTAAACTTTAGAGCTAGTTGTATTAGTGGTAACATCTCTTAATACTTTACATTCATTCCCTCTTTGATGTCTTTGCTCAGTTTTTTCACCTTGGTAAGACTCTTAAATTGCTTTACAACATGGCATTTTTTTCTATAAACAGCAAATCATGTCAGATTTGTGGTATAGCTTCTACCTTACTCAGTACTAATGTTTACATGTAAGGCCAGGGGCAGGAACAGGAGCAGTGGAAGAAGATTCAGGAAAAACTATTTCTAAGTTTTAACCCAAGATCTAACTAGGGTTGATTGTTTTATTTAATTTACTCCACTATTAATATGTGTATTCCATATTTTAGCTTTATTCTGCAATGTGATGGTAATTATTTTCTAAACATTTCTTGCCTGTAGGAAACTCATATCATGCATACCTTCAAAGAGGACTTCTATGGGGAAATCCTCAATGTGGCCATTGCTGGCTACCTCAGACCAGAAAAGAACTTTGATTCTTTAGGTAAGTTCTTTGTTATATCATAAAGTATTATTGCAACTACTGCTTCTAATAATAATCGTGTCAGTACACAATAATATTTGAGCATTTAATATGTGCCAGGCACTGTATTAAGTGCCTTACATAGATTAACTTATTTTATCCTCATATGAGGGATTATTCTGCAGAGAGGTTACATAATTTTCTCAGGGTCACATAGTAAGTGATGCACCATAGGTTATTAAACCCAGCAGTATGCAGTTAATAAAACCTTTATTTCCTTTTCATATTTTTAAGAACAAGTAAATAAGTTGTAACGAATGATGGATGTGTTGCAATGTTTGGTGTAAAATGATAAAACATTTGAAACAAATGGTATCAAGTATCTTAGTATAATGTGGTGGTTTTAATTGTAGAGTTTTGTTTACAAGTGTAAATGCTGAAGAGAATTGAGAGAATATTTGTTCCATTAGGTATTTGCAATATACCTTTTTGTTAATGCCTTTCTCTAAGAAATTGCAATAAGATAGAGACATCTTTTTACTTTTTACTTAAGTCTGGAAGAATGGGTAGAACAATTACTAGACAAATATCCTGTTGCACAGACACAGCCAGCCTTGGGAGTATTTTGGAGAGGTTGAACATAGGAGTAGTATAAAGTGTAGCAGCAGTTTTCATTGTTTTTATCTATATTCTCTCTGCAGAGTCACTTATTTCTGCAATTCAAGGTGATATTGAAGAAGCTAAGAAACGACTAGATTTACCAGAACATTTGAAACTCAAAGAAGACAATTTCTTCCAGGTTCCAAAAGGCAAAATAATGAATGGCCACTGATGAAAAATCATCTTACTTATTCATTCATTGTTCTCAAATATTTTACTGCTCATAAACCTGCAGTCTCATCTTGGTTACACTTGAAAAACCAAAAATTTTCTTACAGCTGTGACTTAGTTTAAACAGTGCAATGTAATTATTATTATGCTTCATGTTCAATTAAACCCATCATGCTATAGCACTAAAAATCCTTATTTTAGAAATCTAGATTCTTTCTATGTAATATGTTGACTAAAATTTACCACTAGAAATATCAAGTGTTTTATAAGGGGAATGAAATGTATAAAGCTAGGGGTAAAAAGGCAAGTTACTAGTTTGGAATGAAAACTAATTATAGTAAAAGACTAGCATGTATGTACTTGATTAGCATGTGCTGCTAAACAGAGAAGGCTTATAAAAGTAAATTATTAAAACAGGTTTGATAGCTTATTATAAACATAAGAGGGAAAATTTATACATTGTATTTTTTATATTTTGTGCATTAAAATATTACTACAAACATGAATACTTGTGAAATTTTAATTAGTCATGACTAATTTCCTTTATGGAAAATTAGAGGTCAAATCATTATCATGTTTTTGTTTTTGTTTTTTAAACATCTGCCTCAGTTATGATTGGTCTGGACTCTGCTATCAGTCTTTTTGGTCTCTGTTAAAACATTAAAATGAGTGTATTTTGAATTTGAAGGTTTCATTTTTGTATTGAATAGATATCACTGCTCTTTTAAGAGTAGTCAATATTTTTTTTCTTGATTTGGATTACTTTTTTCCTTTAAGCAATCACATGTCAATTTTTTTTCCATTTAGAATATCCTCTGACTTAAAGGATTGCATCTATCGCCACCATTCCATCTTTCACTATATGAAAAACTCCGAAAGCTTCATCTTTGGGTTTACTCAAAGTCTTAGTGAATACGTAGCACTTCATTTATATATGCCAGTTTCTTAAAGAACACAAAACACTTGGTTTTCCTCCTAGGGAAACTGTTTATGAGCCAATTAAGCTATGAAATAGAAAATTATATTTAGTGTGATTGTATGTTCCTGAGCAAACAAACTGTTGTAATGGTGTATGCACAATGTAATTTAATGATAAGAGTGCTTGTAGCTTGGGGGTAAAGTATAAATAAAGTCTTAGTTACGTAATCTTCATACTATGCATTTTTTCCTAACAAGTGAGTTTTGGTCACTGAAGACTTGTTTATATTGGCAGGAAGTTAGTCTTTGACTACTTAAGAGATTGATTGCAGAGTCTTTTAGCCCCAGAAGCAGTACCAAGTATTATTGACTTTGGCACAAGATTTGGTTGGGATGGAGATAGAGGTACATTGAAGGTAATTTTAAATATAAGTTATTAAAAATCCTATTTTCCCTAATCTGCACAGAGAATTGATCATAACCAAAATATTAGGTATCTATAGTAAAGTGTAATATGCTAATTAGGCCAGACAACCTTCCGGACAAAGCTGGGGCTGCAAGAGAATCCAGCAGCCAGGGGAAAGAAGGCCTAATTTCATGCACCAGGCCTCTATGATATTTAAAGATAATGTTGGAGAATCGGAAGCATGGATAAATTCATGGTAAACAATGTATTTTTCGTTGTTATAACCCAAGGATATATATTTTTTCCCTTTTTTTTAAGAGGAAGGAAAAGCAGGGAGAGAAGAGAAACATTGATATGAGAGGGACATCCCATCCATTGGTTGTCTCCTCACGATGCTTGACTACAGCTGCTTGACTAGGATTTGACCAGAGCAAACAATGTAGTGTATTTTTTTATTTCTCTAAAAATACTTAGGAAAGGTAATTTAATATTAGAAATCCCATACTTGAAAGAAGCCTTAAATATCAGTGGCTTTATGGGAAGTGTAAAAAACAAATTTATATTTATTTGAACAGACTATTGCTAATTATGTCCTCGGTAAATATGTGAAAGTTCTTCGGTATGTTGTCACCTTACGTTTTATAAAATTGCCATCACTCTTGACAATTGAATAGTGTTTGGGTTAGGAAATGTGCTCTAATTTTTTTATGTTTTAGTTTAAATATTGATGTATTATATGAAATTGCAGTACTGCCATTTTTTATTGGTCTGATTTCAGGTGTTGAGATAAATTTTGACTAAACGTTGTCATAGTTTGTTTGCCTTTCTCATTCATTCAATCACAGTTGACATTCATTATTTTATGTTTCAGGTGTACTGCATAGTGATTAGAAATTTATTTCATTTATAAAGTGATCCCCCCTGATAAGCCTAGAACCCCCCTGGTATCACAGAGTTATACTAGAGGCCTGATGCATGAAATTCGTACAAGGGGCTTGGCCCTTGCAGCTCCGGCTTCATCAGGAAGGTTGTCTGGCTGGCTGGTCTAAGTAGCATATTATGCTTTTATTATTATAGATTATATTGACTATGTTCCCATGCTGGACTTGACATCCTCATCACTCTTAGTGTTCTGAATTTCTTCAGATAAATATCCAGAAATGGAATTGCTGGGTCATAAGATGGTTGTATTTTTTTTTTTTTTTTAAGGTCACCAAAACTTTTGGTTCCTCCCTAACCCCCCCCCCCCTAAAAAAAAAAAAAGGGAGAGAGAGAGAGGATACATAGTTGTATTTTTAACTTTTAACAAACTTCTACACCAATGGTTCTCAACTTTTCTAATGCGGAGACCCTTTAATACATACAGTTCCTCATGTTGTGGTGACCTCCAACCATAAAATTATTTTCGTTGCTACTTGATAACTATAATTTTGCTACTGTTACAGGTTGAGAACCACTGCTGTAGAGCCTAAGACCATTGGAAAACACAGATATTTACATTAAGATTCGTTAACAGTAACAAAATTACAGTTATGAAGTAGCAACAAAAATAATTTTATGGTTGGGGTCACCACAACATGAGATGAGGAACTGTATTAAAGGGTCGTGGCATTAGAAAGGCTGCAAACCACTGCTCTATACTGTTTTCCACAGTGCCAACTTACGATCCTATCGCCTACATTTGTTTGTTGGTTTACTGATAGCCATTCTGACAGGTGTGAGGTTATATCTCATTGTGGTTTTTGCATTTCTCTGATGATTAGTGGCAAGTTGAGCATATTTTCATATGTTTATTGGCATCTGTCCATTCTCTTTGAAGAGTATCTGAGTTCTCTGCCCATTTTTAAATTGGATTGTTTGATTTATTGGTGTTAAGTTGAATTAAGTTCTTTAAAAATTTGGTTAGTAATCTGTTATTAGATGTATCCTTGGCTAATATCTTCTATTCAGTAGTTTGTCTTTTTCTTTTGTTGATTGTTTTCTTTGTTGTCCAGAAACTTTTTAGTTTGATGCAGTCCCATTTGTTTTTATTTTTCCTTTTGTTTTCTTTGCTCTCATTGTTCACCTAAGAGCATTATGAAATCTCTCAGCTGGTCCTGGGTGGTGTGGCTCAGAGCACTGTTACATGTACTTGAAGGTTCTCGGGTTTGGATCGCTGGTCGGGGAACGTACAGGAGACATGTTCTCTCCCTCTCCCTTCCTCTAAATCAATTTCAAAGTCTCTCACCTGTTCCACTCAAAATGTGAATTATCCCTTTGTCCAGTGTATCCATGCTGTATTTGTTTCCTGTCAGTAACTTACTTGCCTGGTAGGTTATCAAATCAGTTATCAGAGAGCACATTCACATAACTTATTACAGTATATTCTAATTTTTCTATTATTAGTTGTTAATCTCTTATTATACCTAATTTATAAATTAAACTTCATTATTGTATGTATAGGAAAAATGTAGCATATATAGGGCGTGGTAATATCTGCAGTTACAGGCATCTACTGGGGGTCTTGGAACAGATCAGTAGGGTACAGAATTCAGGTAGATTGAAAGTCACTTAACAGAAGGGCAGTGGATATATTCTAGCAGCATTCATGAATATATGAATTCACATACCAACTTCACAATAATCTGTTCATAGGTGTTGCCCCCAAACTCCTAATTTCTTGTATTTTTATAATTACCTTAGCTTGTAGACTCCGCCTTTTTTTTTACACCCAAGACCCCCTAGACTGGCTTCTAGAGCTCTTAGGCTGTGTTTCAATTTCTTCAATACCTATGTACAGAAAGTGATCTGTATATAATTATACATTAATTTTCCTCTGATACTGACTGTACTATATAAACAGAATTAGACCTTCACTGGGAACCCAGCTTGTGGTACAAATACTTTTTAAAGCTTCCTTGGCTCTGCAAGGCAAAACCTATGCTATGAATGAAACTTAGGGCTGAATTTTATCTTTTAAGGGAATACTTAAAAATCAGGAGTATTACCTCCTTTTTAATCTCCTTTTTCTTATAAAATTGTGACTTCTAAAATTATTTCTAATCATGAATTAATACTTAAAAATGCAACAAATGACTAAAAAAAGTCACATTGAATGTCTTGCCAATGTCAAAATGCTATAAAAGATTTTTAAACACTCAATTTCAGTAGTAGGCAGTTTCCAGGACAGTAGCAGTCTATAGACTACATTTTGGGTGGCCCTGTGCTAAAGACTGTAAACTTTCCCTCTAGCTATAGCAAGGAAGACAGGCTTTATTTATTATTTTTTGGTAAAGGGCCAGAGAATAAATTTTTCGGGTTTTGCCATGGTGAAATAGTGGCCACAAACAACACATACATATATATAAATGGGCATGGCTATGTTTCAAATTTTTATTGAGGCCAGAAGGATTTGGCTCATAGTTTGCCAACTCCTGAGAGGACCTTCTTTTTCCAGTCTTTATTAGAACCCTTTTCCTAATTACCGTGCAGGTTTGTGCTATTCATGTGCACATTTTATTTTGATGTACAGGTGTTTAAATTAGAGGAGATAGGTATAGATTTAAAATGGTATTGGCATTTCAAGTCTGCTGTGTCCAGGTGAAGTGTTTACTGCCTCAGTTGGAGGTGTAGAGGATCACAAGATGCCAACGTTGGATGAGAACTGAATGTATTCCCCTTCAAGTCCATATGTTGAAGTCCTAACACCCAAGCATTAGCCAGTAGGGCCTTTGGGAGGTTATTAGGTCATGGGATGGAGCCTTCAGCTGTAGGATTAGCGCCCTTATTAAAGGACTCCAGCGAGTGCGGTAGCTCTCTTGACGAGTGAGTATTAGGTGAGAAGTCAGCAGTCTGAGGGAAAGCAGAGCTTGCTTCCTCAAAATAGGCCTTTTGGGCTGTTATTTTAAGCTGCTTATGTTTAAGAAAAGACAGACTCAGGGCAATCTTTGACTTTCCCTCTAAGAGCCTAAAAGGATTTAGAGCAGCAGTTGCCAACCTTTCGTGCAACACCAGTTGGTGACCACTGATTTAGAGGACCTGCTCCAGGAAAAGAGATATACATAGATAACTATAGTTGAATATGAACTAGGTGTGGTAAACCCATTGGGTCATAATCATCTCTGTGTCCCATTGTTTTAAGATGGCCTAACATTTGTTTACTAAACTTAACTATGCATCTCCTTGTAAATTGCTTCTCTTTGGCATCCCTTACCTTCTAGAATGAGATTATATATACCTAATTTTGCCTTACTGTCTGAATATAATATCCTGTACACACATATTGATTGACACTTGATTTTTTCCCTGTTAACCTGCCTTATATCATTTTGATGATTAGTCCAGTTGGAAGGACCTCCTAAGAGAAGGGGGCAAAATTAGTTTTCCTCTGCCACATCTGCAACCCAGAAGACGGCTCTTATCGGAACTTGATCACTGGCACTGTGACCTTGGACTTCCAGCCTCCAGAACTGTGAGAAATAAGTTTCAGTTGTACTTACCCAGTCTATGCTATTTTGTTATAGTCGCCTGAACAGATTAAGACATGTGCTCTGATGTAAAACTTAAAATAGATGACCTCTTTCCTCCTCTCCTCTTCCTTCCCCTCACCTTCATTCTCTCTTCTTCTCCCATTTTGCTCTCCACCCTTCCCTTTATTCTCTAATGGATACAGTATAAGCTATGAATTAGGAGTGAAGGAAATATGAACAAAGGCACCACCTCTAAAATATCTGATTTTTCTCTTTGGAACTAGATTTTAGAAGTCAAATTGCCTGCCTCCAAGATAGATTATAATAGACTTTAAAAAATACCAGTGTTCCGAACCAGTACTATATTTCCTTGGGTCT